CGAGATCAGTGAGTGGCTCAGGTGTCGCTCATCATTCACTCCACCGGCCTCGCTCTGTTCCCACGGCTCTCGGCCCAGCCCCAATCGTCACACACACACACACATATATATATATATATATATATATATATATTCATCATTTGTCATAATGTCATTAAGATCAGAATGAAATAATACAATTTCTAAAAAAACAATTGTGATTCTGGAAGGATATGCAGTGCAGTATGTGCTACACACAGTCAGGAACAAGCTTATAATAGGATATATCCTACTTCTTCATTGCCTCCATGACTGGGAGAGTCAGGTTTCTATACACCTAGTAGGTGTGTATCTCATGCATCTCTTATGATGTCATATACAGCTTTCTGATGTCAGTAATTTGCAAAAGTTCACAACAACCCTTTTTGGACTCTGAAAAATAATTCTTGAAAAATGTCCTGAAATTTGCAGTATGTTATTACAGTATACTGAATTCTTATTTCAAACATTTTTCAGAAGATTTTTCATGACATGATCCCTTTCGGAAACTGCAGATGCACTTTTCGATATGTATTCGATTCGTTCTCCCTTAGCCAAAGGAGGATGAGGAGGAGAAAAAGACTGTTCTGTTTCTTAAGTCTACCAAATGCCACAGGCTTATTTGCATTTATAATTACATTTTGTGTACAACAGTTGAAACATTTGGCAGTCTGACCAAACAATAAGTCCAAAATAAGGCTGTAATAACCTCTGGGTCATTCATCACACTGAAAATGGAAAGTCTAGTCATGCACATTGTATTGTGCAATACAGTGTTTCGAAGCTGTTATATGCTGCTCATTTAGTCAACAATAGTAGGTCATCTGAGTTTTCAATGCATAGAGATAATTTGCATTCTACGCAAGTGTACAAACAAAAAAAAACCTACTTATATGTTGGCATGCTATTCTAAACATGAAACGTTCCAAGACATAGCTTAGAAACAAAGTACTCTTTCGAAGCTCCACATTGCTTGTGTTCTTTTTAGTCTTTAAAATTGTGTCAGATAGGCTAGACATAAAAAAATGAAAGACCTTAATTCACTAAGTAATTCTGTTTTGGTCTTCCATTAAATAAAGAGAATGAAAGAATAAGAAATTATCACCAAGAGGCAGGCTGTCTTCAGCTGTGATCTTCTCTCACTCACGTCAGTAATAACATTAAACTACTGCGTTTGGCTTTCATCTTCTTAATATGCTGCTGCTGCTGGGCTGAACTGCTTTAAAACCAGCAAGTTCAACTTCTCAAAGCCTGTGGGTGGCCAAACAACCATGTTCTTAGTTGAGGTAAGCTCAGACCTACAGCAACCCTCAAACCAGCTCACAATGATGCACAAAAAAATAGACAGAATGTACAGCAGGTCTCCATTGTGCTGCTAACAAAACATTAACCAGCTTTCCAGTCTCAGAGGCGTTAGACAGATCATTAACAAGGAGCACTGGCTTGTTCAGATGTTGTCTAACTCCCATGTATACAGGCTTCCATGTATGAAAGGGGTGGTTCATTGCGATTTCACTTTTTTAATGCTAGTTAGTGTGTAATGTTGCTGTTTGAGCATAAACAATATCTGCAAAGTTACGAAGCTGAAAGTTCAATGCAAACGGAGATATCGTCTTTTAAAATTCTGGCAGTTTAATGCCTACAAAAACGGCTGGTAGGGACTACAACGAGTTACTTCCCGAGTTCGTGACATCACAATCCCAGATAAACCCCGCCCTCGGGAAAAGACAGCAAAGGGGGCAAAGCCATGCTGCGCTGCTTTAGAGAAGAGGAAGAGAAAACTAGAAGTGCACGTAAAAATCTGTTCATATATGAATCGCGATTTTGTCTTCTAACAATTCTAATGGATTCACAAGTTTCAAAATCAATGTTCTAAAGCAGCGGTTCTTAATACTGTTCCTTGCGTTCCCCTGTTCTGCACATGCTCTGCATCTCTCTCTCTCTCTTTCAGCTCAGCTCCAGCAATGAACTGTTACAATTATACACTTATTTTCACATAGCTATGAGAAGCGTTAAACATGGACGTGCATGCAGTTGCCGTACTGTATTAAAGCTTTAATCAGGATAAAACTGTATATTAAAAGCTAACATAAGCAGTAGCATTTACAAATAACAGCGTATCTAAAAGTATGAGAGAACAACAAACAAAAAACATAGGCCTACCATTAAAAGCCGTGCTTGCACAGGTTCTGCACGATCCTCTGCTTCTCAATCGGGCTCAAACTGATAAGCGATATTAACAAAGCCTTTGTTTACAATACAATCGGAGCAAATGCCGCTGAGGTGAGGGGCGGGGCGTTT